CAGACAACCCCGTAACAATATGCGTTTTGTACTGCTGTTACACAGCACAAAACGCATAAAAACAAGGATAATGCAGCTTGTGGGCGGGTTGGTGATTATTATCGACTGTTGCTAAGACTCGGCTCGGCTTGATTGGGAACTAGTTATGATACTAAGGATATGGCGGGGTAGGAGGCAGAGACAGGGTAGAAGGAAAGCAAAGATCGGAATGGTGGTTCAGGTCGCAGGGGTCTAGCAGAGGGGAGGGGATTAGTATATTGAATGAATTTGAAACTGCTTGAAGGTGGGAATTGGAGATAGGTATAAAGACCACCGAGGAGGGGAGGCATGTGGGTTCATGATGTTACGCAAGCAGAGATGCTGATGAAGGCTTGTAATAAATTTCTGCTTACAATCTGAAATCTCACCGTAACAGAAAACCGATACTTCTGTTTGACTACAGTTTTCGCATTTTTCATCCAAACTCAGGGTAAATGCATTTTGTATGCCCGAGCTGAGTCAAGTTTTAGTAACTGTACTTTTACTAAGGCAAAACGGCACAAAATTTGCTGTGCCCGACATAACGTTTGACTGCATCCAGCCAGAACAAGCCAAAATGACCCAAACCAGGAGGGGATTTTTGCCGGTATTAAAACTCAGCGCTCTGGTTTACAGTTCGCTTTAGTACAAGAGACAATAACTGGTTAAAATAGCGCAAGAAATCTCCCAACAACATCTTGGCAATGAGTGTTCGTTTTTGGAGAAGGGCTTCCATTTTGGGGTACAATTTCTGAGTGACCTCTTTCATGAACAGTCAAATAGACAGATGTTTATAAAGCCTTTTGATTTTGACTTAAGAATACTCGCCAGTCATTACCTCCGGTGTGCCACACGTCACCCACCATGGCCCGGCAACTATGCAGCTTAAGCACTGAGGAGCTCCTAGTTAATGCTTTTTCATGCATTCGTAAAAGAATCTTATTTGGCCGTTCTTAATGAGACTCTGCTGTGATTGAAGAGCACTGCAGTGAAATGCTGAAAGTTACTTTGAGTGCGTACCTGCAGTACTAGTCGTCTTGTTGCCGATCTGAGAGGACTATCGCAGAGATGCGCTCGTAAAGCCATTAATAAACTGTCGCATTGGCCAGGTCTGATTTTTTGTAACATGCTGCCATGATCGAGGAACATTTCTGCGGCCGCCTAAATTCATCCATCCTTCAAGTGCGAACATATAGGGCAGGGAGCTGGATAAAAATTGGGTAAAAAGTGGTGGTTACCTCAACATCTTTTTCATCGGCTTCGTCTCGAACCAGTTCATTTAATGAAGTAAACATCGGTTCCACCAAGCACTCGCTTACTGTTGCATCGATTTCCTTATACACCGGATAGAAGTCCAGAATTGCTCGCACAGTGTTTCTGCATCATTGCCATCTCAGCTGTTTCTAGCAGAAATCCTCCCTCCC